GCGTCAGTTTGTCAACATAAAAACAATATGGCTTTCCTCACGAGATTCTTTTTACGTACGGACGTCCATGAGGTAAGTTTTCTTTTTCTTTTTTCTAACTAACCCCCTCACCCCCGATCTCATAATCACATCTCATGTTACATAGTTATCCATCCATCTGGGCGGGTGTCGCTCTCTTTACGATCTCCGCAGTGTTTGGGGCTGAGCCTCATGAGAACTTCCCCCATCGTCACCATCATTCTTTGAATCCTCCTGAATCACTCTAAGGTCAACTGGAGATATAAGGCAAGGGCGGCTCCCTCTAAAAACAGGGACATAAAGCTTGCGAGGGTGTGGATTTTTTGCAGTCTTGCTACCAATTTCACTTTCGCCAATCAGGCCATCACCACTGAACGTTTTCACCATATCGACAGTTACTTTGCGATTCCCCTCCATATCGTCACGGCGCTTATAAAAGATATATATAAGCCGACATAGCATGTAGATGTTGTATTTGTTGCATTGTCTGGTCTTTTGTAGACTAACTTCCTCCCCTTCCCGCGTCTTTCGTACACTGCATATATATATTTTCTCAAATCTCGTGGTCGCCGCGATTTTGCGTCAATTTGTCAGCATAAAAACAATATGGCTTCCGCACGAGATACTTTTTACGTACGGACGTCCATGAAGTAAGTTTTTTTTTTTCAAACTACAATAGGGATGTAATGTAAAGCAATGTTGCTCTTCATTTGGTAGTTATAATTTGCCAGTGTTGTTCTTGCTTCACAAATTGGTTATCGCCATTTTCATGTGCCACAATTCATAAACACCTGATATATCCTTGCGCGTCTTCTACAGGATTTGCGACCAGTGAGATTTAAGGCTCCACCTTTCTGGTTCAAAAACAAATCCGTGGTCAAATTCTATTAAAACCTGTCCGCTTCCCTTGCTATTTCCCTTTCTTGTAAGTAGAAAATTATGAAATAGAAACAAAAAAATATAATCTAGAAGAAAGCTTGACCAATTGAAAGATTACCTATTGGTCTATATTATGTACTGAAGAGTAATCATCAATATTATAATTGAATACGGATGTTAGGCTATTGAACAACAGTCAGAGATAGTTACTAAGTGAAAGCATGGAAACAATTGCCTTCTGCTGTGTCATAAATTCTGGGTATGACGTTAAACTACATCCAGCAGCAAAGTTTCTGATCAGGAGGTTTTGAGGAGCGTGGAACCACTTTTTAATTGCTGTTGGGCCCAGGCCGACTCTGACCCGGGGTGGTAACAGCTATGGGAAAATAGTTACCCGTCTCCCAAACTGGGGTCAAAACACTATAAAAGTGTAAAAATACATTTTTATACTGAAAAAAGTGAAGGAATATATTTTGGAAAAAAACCCAAAACGCCAATACATTTCATGAAAATGAAAATTGATCTACAAACTGATTTCTTACAAAAAATACATATTCTATTCATACGAACCTACCCTAAAAATCTTGTCAGCATTAAATAACCCATTGTTGTTGATATGCTGTAAAATAAAAATAAACCAAACCAAACCTATTGTGTCAGCTTCCACCGCCCAAAGACATTTCCTCACGTTCTTTTTGGTTAAAGCTTTTTTCCATTTGTGGAATCGGCCACAATTATTCTCCACCCTGCGACCACTTTCGCCCCGAGAAAACGTCGCAAGCTAGTCTATCGATGTTTCTATGGAAAATGTTCACCAGTTTTAACCTTCACGACTAAGGCCCGCTAAGCCACGCCCATTCCCTTCGTATTCCCTTGGTGAGACTCAAGCAGCTTTTTTTCCCACAAATCATTACTTTGTGGAACCTACGCCCAAGAGGATACATCCCCGCTCACTACAATCTTAATCTGTTCAAATCTTGGATTACCTATTATAATTCCCACATATCCTCATAAACTGTGCCAATAACCTCTTACTCTGAAACCCTCTACTACGAGTGGCTCTTGAGTCTTGTAAAGGGTGAACATTATTATAGAAACTTTCCGCGTTAATCTTTTCGACGTGTGGATGCTTCTTTTTTATTTTATTTTTACCGGTGAAAAAAAGAAGGTATTTATGAGTTGTCTTCCCTGTCTTTTCGACGTGCTTTAGGTATTATTTACTTAGTTATTTCTCGGTTTTGTTCTTTAAACCATCTGAGTATTACTTTGCGCGTGAAACATGTAGTCACGGTGAAGTTTGAGTCTGTTTGATAGTCTTATATTATATATCAGTCTATGGAAACGGCAAGAATTCATTTAATAATTCTTAAGGACGATCTATTTATATTTTTTCATTTTCCATCTTTTGAATAAGAAATACCCTCAAATCAATTGTGGATCCTTTGATAGGTTGCATCTCGAATATTAATAATTAAAAAAAAACAGTTTTACTTCTTAGTTTGACTACACTTGTAACACACATTCTCGTAGATTAGAAAGTCACTTATTAAAATATTACTTGCTCATATCAATCATCACATCAAAAACAACAAAAAGATAATTGTTAACATAAGTAAATATTATTAGATAATAACAAATGACTTTATAGAATTTACTGTGAAGAAAGACAAAATATTTGAAGCTATTAATATACAAATAAATCATTACGCATACAATATTTTTCACTACGTGAGATGTTGTCTATCATGTATATATATATATATATATATATATATATATATATACAGATACATAGACAACATCTCACGTAGTGAAAAAATATTGTATGCGTAATGATGTATTTATATATATATATATATATATATATATATATATATATATATATATATATATATATAATAATAACAAGGGAATCAGAAGATAAAAAAATAATGACATTTATTACAAGTAAGAATCAATTCTGCTTGCAGAAAGTTTTCTTCCTGGTATATATATATATATATATATATATATATATATATATATATATATATATACATACATACATACATACAATGTGCTAAACGTGTTTGGAATATAAAACATTCCTATAACTCTAGATACATATATAAAACAATCCATATATTCAGTTAAAAGTAAAATAAAATTCATCCTTGTTAATGGCGAAAAGTATAGCCGAAAATGCTTGGTTCTATAAAGCATTCAGACAAATTTTATATAATTTATGGCCTAAAAAGAAAACAACTATTAAAAACATATGAAAAATTATATAAAAAAAGAAAACATATCAGTAATAATAAACAGTATTACCAACATTTACCGGCCTGAATGTCTGAGAAAGTTTATTATAAACAGAGCGTTTATTTAAATATTTGTATCTATAAAAAAACGTATAAACATAAAAAATGTCTTAAATATATATATATATATATATATATATATATATATATATATATATATATATATATACCTAGTGAGCCAGACAAACCTACCTAGGTTTCACCTAAACGGATCGTCAGGAAAGTTTGGCCAAACTTTCCCTGACGATCCGTTTAGGTGAAACCTAGGTAGGTTTGTCTGGCTCTACTAGGTGTATCTAGGTCTGCTCTACAGTTGTATTGAGCTCTTTTGTTAGTTAGTTGTTTACTCGTATCGGGTTTTTTTTTTTCTTTGGGCTTCAGACCTGCATCTGTGCGATTTTTTTGTCGGCAGAAGTTCATATTTGTAGCTCTTTTTCCCTCGAGATTGATTTGATTAGTTTTTTCGAAACGAGTCTAGTTATCTATATATATATATATATATATATATATATATATATATATATATATATACGAAAGTTATGTCAATATAATAGTCAACGCTTTTGATCAGTCAATATTTGTTTTACAAACATTATACCTATAATTTAAATGGATCTCCTCTCAATTCGATCTCAATTAAAATGATCTCGTTTTGAAAAGACGAATCAAAACATTTCTCTCTTATTAATTATAACCTTAACATTCTTTATAATGACAAGAAATATTCAAAAGTATTTTAGAAAGAAACAAAAACTGTTGGAAAGAACTTCGGACTGTTTCGTCGTAAGTTTGATTTGTACATGCGACAGCTTATACGCAAACTTGAAAAATATAATAAAAATTGCTTACGGTCATGGTAACAAGTCCTGAAGCCCATTAGAAATATACAAAGACTAGATGTATTGCAACCGTAGAAGCACATGTGTCTAGAGCAAGACAGCCTAATGAAGCCCATCCCTATTCAGGCAAATGTAATACAAAATATTAAACGGGTAGACTATGACGGTAACCTTCAAGAAAATTTGATTGAATATATAATTTAAAAAGTTTTTGTTATTATTGTTTATATCAGAAGATGTGGAAGTCGAGGTATCTGTCTCTAAATGATTAAAAATTATATATTTTTTGTTGGGTCGATATGATCACATGACTGCATCTTGGCGGAGGAATTATCCATTTTTTTTTTTATTACATAGCATGCTATTAGCCGTTTACTAAGAACGGTTTCTTGAACATGAAGAAGTTTTTCTGCATTTGTCAGAGGCTAATTTGTTTTCCCTTTCATGCATATTCGCGGTCTTTTGGCTTGGAAGGAATTACAAAAGTCTTGTCAACACCTGCCCTAAATTAACTCATTTTAAATGCATGCGACGAACTTTGAGGTTAGAACCGTTATCTGTTGTTGTTCTTTTAAGGATATGAACAGCCGGTAAAAAAAAAAATAAAAATAAAAATAAATGAAGCATTTAAAAAATCGGAAAAAACAAAAAGTGTAGCAGTAATAAAGAAAGAATTTATGAAAATTATTGTAAGTAAAGGAAAGAAAGGAAGAAAGATATCAAGGAAAGAAGAAAAAGGTTAAAGAAAGGAAGAGTGATGAAAGAATGAAGAAGGGACGTAAAAATGAAGATAAAATGGAGAAGTGGGAAGAAGAAGAGAACGAAAAAGAGAGATTAAAATAGGAAAAAAAACAACGAAAATTGAAAGAAAAATAGAAATAAAATCAAAATGTATGAGAAGGAATCAAAAAGTAAAAGAAAATGAGAGATAGAACGAACTGAAAAGAACAAAGAAAAACTATTTTTATAAGAAAGAAAGAAAGAAAGATATCAAGGAGAGAATAAAAAAGTAAAGGAAGAAAGAGAAACGAAAGAAGGAACGTGAAAGAAGGAAGAAAAAACGATAAGTAAGAAGAAGATAAAGACGGTAAGGAAAGACTCTGAGAGAATAGGAATGAAAACAAGAAACAAGAAAAATAGAAAGAATGAAAAATAGAAAAAAAATATCAGTGTCTGAGAAGGAAACAAAAATGTAAAGAAAACGACAGAAAATATAGTCTGGGATAGAACGAAGGAAAAGCACAAAAATAAAAGAATGTATGTCAAAAGAAAGAGAGAAAGAAAGAAATAAAATAGAAAGAGAGGAAGAAAGAAAGAAAGAACCTACCTACCAACCAACCAACCAAAGAAACCAGCCAAATGAGAAGTTCAAAATCCATAGAAGAAAAAAAAAGATGGAGAAGAAATAAAAATAGTAAACCCAAGAAAATAAAGAAAATAAGATCTAGAAAAAAAAAATTGACGAAACAAGAAAGAAAATGAATCAATTACAATTAATTTGAATAAAACTAAATGAAAGAAACGAACAATCGTATCGCATAGAATTAGGAGAGGCGAAAAGAAAACCAGAAGGAATCTGAAAAGGTGACAGAAGGAAAAACTCAATAAAGCGACTAAATATCAAGTTAATACCATGAAAAGCCAAGAATAAAAATAAACAGAAAAAATTCAATAACTTAAATAGAAATACAAAAAAAAAGAAAAAGAAAAAGGAAACGAATTGAAAACACGCACTCAAATATTCCAGTCGACACCATTTTTCTTTTTCTATACTTGATGTCTGTCTTCTTGAATCGGAAGTTAAAAAAAAAAAAAGAAAAACTGTTCGTGTTCTGTTAACAACCCTAAAACAGAGGTTAACTCGCCATCCATTATATTTTCTTCCTCAGTTATTTTATTTCCGAACACCTTTTGAAGAAAAAGAAAGATGAAAACACGTTATGTTTCTTGTTCGGTTTGTAACTTCCTCATCATTTCTTGTATGGTGCATTCAAACGTAATAAGTTCATTCTTATTCAAATTCAAATGTTTTAAAATTAATAAAAAAACGCACTGAGGAAATAAATAGTGAGGAAGGAAGGTAATAATAATAATAATAATAATAATAATAATAAGAAGAAGAAGAATAAGAAGAATAAGAAGAAGAAGAAGAAGACTGTTGAAGAAAAGAAGGTTGCTGAAAAAGAAGAGTAAGAAGAAGAAACAAGTAAAAGAATGAACGTTGAAAAAAGAAGAGTGATAGAAAAGAAGAATAGTGAGGATGAGTGAAGAAAATAAAGTGAGGAAGAAGAAGTGTGTTAAGGAAAGAAAGCTTTAGAGAGGGGGATTTAAGAGAGGAGGAAGAAGACAGAGAGCAATGACAAATAAGAGTGATAAAGAGTGAAGAAGAAGAAGAAGAAGAAAAAGAATATAGTTGAAAAAAAAGAGCGTCCAAATAGTAGAACAAGAAAGACAAGTAGAATACTGATGAGAAAGAAGAAGAATGACTAAGAATAAGAAAAAAAAAAGGATGGAAAAGAAGAAAAAGAAGAGGGAAGAAGAATAAAGAAAATAGAATAATGATGAAGAATAAAAAGAATTAGAAGACTCACGGAAAAGATGAAGAGTGAAGAAAAATGTGCTGATGAAAGAGAAGAAAAAAATGTGATAAAGAAAAAGAAAAATGATGGAGAAGAAGAAGAAGAAGAAGAAGAAGAAGAAGAAGAAGAAAGAGAAAAAACAGTGATGAAAAAGAAGAAGAGTATTAAATAAAGAAGAGCTGAAAAAAAGAACAAGAAAAACATGTGGAAAAGTGATGAAAATAAGAAGAATGATGAAGAATGAAGAATAAGAAAAGGTCAAGATTTAAAACAGGTATGAGCAAAAAAGAACTTAGAATACAACGGAAAAGAGGACATAGTTACCCACTGTGGCAAGAATTTAATCAAAGACGAGAAAGGAGAAAGGAGAAGAAGAAGGATGATGAAAAGGTGAAGATGGAGTAAAGAAGCTTGTGATGGAAACAGAAGAGAGTAGACTGACCCTCCCTCCACTAGAAATAATACAAAGGAGAAGAAATATAAACATGAAAAGAAGAAGAAGAAGAAAAAATAGAAATTTCCAAACAGAAAGGAGATTCAAGAAGGGAAGAGGCTTCAATACGCGACGTCGTATAAGAAGAAACAAAAAAAAAGAGAATAGATTTCACGCCCAAATAAGAGTAAAAAAAAAAGGAGAGGAAGGGGAAAAAAAAAAGAGAACAAGAACTAGGACAATTCGAAACAAAGATGTAAAAGAGGCATAACAATCCGTATGTCAACCCGAAAGATATTCTCTATTGAAAGCAGCTGGTTACATCATCTCTACCCAACCCTAAAATGGACCACACATGGTGTTTCGCGAAATGGTTAGCCTTTTTTCCCCTTTTCTTTAAAATTGGAACTTTTATTACTAAATGAGCGTGTACGGGTGTTTTTGCACTGCACATCTCCATAGACGTGCATCGTATGTTGATTATTCTGCTTCGGTTTAAGAGGAACTTCTTCTATACATATCTATATCCAAGTATTTTCATTGTGTTTTCGGGAAGTTCATTCAGTAGAATTCGAGGCAAAGTTTACGTCATTTTGTCTTGGGCGTGCTTAGACTGATATAAGACGTCCAGCAGTGAGGTACCCAATGAGGATGGAAATCACTACATGAAATTAATGACCTGCTATGAAATAGTTGTTAGAATACTAATTTCGTAGACGAATCATAATAATGTTCAATGTTCGATCGCCGCTGAGTCTCACTTAGCTTTTTATGAGATTCATAGCTTGGCTTTGGGAATGAAGATAGAATAGGATTTCAATTTTTTTCTTTCTTACGGATCATTACATCTTCGTTGCAATAAATAAGTGGACCAGCCCTTAGGCCAAGGTTAGTGAAATATCAAGGTAGTGAGCGGATTACCCATTACTAATTCTACCCTTTAAACCAGAGCTTCACCTTCTGCGGCTTAACGATGTAAACTGTTTGCCATAAAGTCTAGTGTTTGAAGGACTCATGTGGGGGTTTCCTATGCTTAAATACCAATTGTGACTAGACATATAACGATGGTTTGAAAACTAGTCTTGCACACATACTGATCTATTAAATTCTACTATAATTGGATGTTCCAAACTCCTGGTTTTGAGCTTGACTAATTGCCTTGAAATACAAATGCTTAGAATGACTTTTTTTTACGGATTTTACTTTGTGAAGAATTTCTTTTAAGAAAAATAATTTTGTATTGCCAGGTCTTTCAATATGGATGCATTCATCAATTTTACTGATAAGTAGAAAAAAGGTTCCAATGAATTTAAATTCTGTTTGAAATATACCAAATTATTTTGCTTATTGGGCATATTAAATTTAAATTAAAAATATATATATATTTTAAATTAAAGCGTCATGAAAGTGTTTTCATTTTTTTCAAAATTTATTTTAAACTTTTTATTTAGGTATCTATATCTTCTATTGAACATAAAGTGGGGAAAGAGAGGTTTCTATCGTTCTAAAGTAAACTATCATTAACATAAGATTCCACTAGTTATAAAGTGTAGGGGAAAATTGGTTTTCTGTAGTTAAAAATATCGGTCACTTTCACCAAGAATTACTATATATATAATAATTAATATTTTGAAAAAAAATATAGTTAAAGACAAACATGTGAAAACCTAATAAAAGTATGGACATCAGATTAGATAAATTTTTGTCAAATTTAGTTGTGATGGAGTTTGTAGGTAGAATTATATATTTTGATTTGTTGGATTTGTCAGAATGGTTCAGTCTTCTATTATGAAATATTACCACCCTAGAATATTCAGACTTTATGGTCTGCCTAAAACCAACAAAGAAGGCCTTCAGCTGTGCCCCATTATTTCTGTTATTGATAGTACAACCCCAAAATGGCAAAAGCCATAACATAAATTTGAACTCCTATCCTTAGGACACTCAGCTCATCATTTATTCAGGCAACTTGGTCCCTAAAATTATGTGAAATAATCTCTGGGCTAGTTTAGATGTTAAAATCCCTTTATACCAATTTCAACAAATTCTTAAATTTTTTTTTTAAACATCTAACACAATCAGAAATAAACTCCCTACCAATAGCTAATAAAATCATAAAAATCTGACAACTCATCACCTTTTGCATGTTATATAAAATGAGAAAATATTTTTAGATTTTAAGAATATTTTTTTGAGATTATAAAAGATTTACTGATAGAAAGAGGTTGATTCATATATTTACCAAGGTTATTTGCCCTTAAGTGAATGTAACAAAACTGAGGGAAATTTGAACTCGGTTATCCGATTTCCACTTCTAAGCCGTTATCGTTTACACCACACGCACATCCAAGCTTACTTCGCCTGGTATTTCCAAGCGAGCAACCATCTAGATACTTACCAGACTCGACGTTGCTTAACTTCGGTGATCATACATGAAGCGGTGTTTAAGCGTGATATGGCCGTAAACCGGAAGCGGTTCGGGTTCTAGTCTTGGCTTATATACCTTGTAGCTAAATCGAACTTTATAGGGTGCCACGTATTTCTGACTATTTAAAAGACTACGTTAAATTTCATAAATACTCAAGGCGCCTTGTCAATGGTAAAAATGCTAATGTTGTTAAAAAATACGAATAAAATAAATTCAATATTCATTTTCTATTTCCATGATGGATTTTAAAATTTAACGATTTTTCTTATGTGCCTCATTGAATTTTAGGTGAAGATTTATTTTCTTTGCTTTTTTTTTTTCAAGAAAATCTTCCGATATCCGTGAGCTTGTAAGCCTCACGACGTTTCTTAATTTGCAACATTTTTCCCCAAAGCTTAAAAAAGAAACAGTAATTATCACAATTGGCTCAGTTTTTTTTCATGTACAGTGTAACCCGGATATAAGAGAGTTGTCGGGACCGGAGAAGTCTCTTATATCCAGGTTTCTCTTATATCCGGATTTGGTCTATTTTATATACATTAACACAGGCTCTAATTTGGGACCAGAGAAAATCTCTCTTATATCCGGGTTTCTCTTATATCCGGGTCTCTTATATCCGGGTTACACTGTATGTTTTCCTGAAAATGCATTCGTTTATGATATGTCAATTCAATTCTACGAGAATTTTTTTTACGCCAAGAAAGGCAATAACAACACGAAATCACAAGGTTTATTGGGAGAATATGAAAAAAAAAAGCATTATTAAGGAAAGAGAACAATAAAAGAATAGGGAGAAGACAAGATGAAGATTTTCATTGCATTTAAATTTTCAAAGATCAAAGTCGTCTGGAAAACAAGAAGCGGGAAATACTAGAGAAGGAACTGTTAGCATCGAACTTACGGATTGTTTTTAAAAATATTGTTACAGTTTAATATTTTTCCTGCCCCCAAAAAACCCCCAAAAAACAAAGCAAAAGACAAACAAAAAACGCATTCACTTCCGTTCAATTTTCTTATTTTTCTCTCTCTTTTTTCTTCCTCTTTTCCAATTTTTCTTTCTTTTTTTTTTATTTCTCAAACATTTTTTTTTATCCACTCTTATGCTGACTATTGTATGATTACTCAGAGTTGAAGGTGTTATATCATGACGTGTTAGCCAGGTGACTATGGGAGCATTTTCGACAGACACTCTGAAAAAAAAAAAGATCTTGCCCACCCACGGGCAGACGATATCACCTATCACGACCGGGTGGGCAAAGGAGTGGTCAAGGCTTGCTTAGGAATACTTTACTCAGTACGGAAATGCCATTCATGGCGTAACAGGAGAACAATGCAAAAAGGACATATCTACAACAGAATATATATATATATATATATATATATATATATATATATATATATATATATATGTTATTTCGTCTGGATGAGAGAATGATTTCGTGAGTGATTGCGTGATTATTTTATTTATATATTTTTAAATTTCATCTCGTTACCTGTTATTTGTGCTGCCTTTAGGATTGTGGGGGTTTCAGTTACTTTACATATATTTTATTTGGTTTTGTAAATATGTTATAACACAGTACATAATGTTAGAAGACAAATTTAAAATGTTAAGATTCTTTATCCTTCTCCCAATCTACATGTGGTATTAAGAATGAATTATTAGATTAAATGCAGTATTAAGGTGTCTGGCATAAATCAATGTAGTGTAAATAAAATGTTTTGGTAAAAGGGACAATATTCAAGCAAAAAAATCAGTTGTTGTGTCAAGTAAAGTTAGGAAGAGGACAGAGAACACCATCAGTCTCATTCCCTAATTTTTAGGCCTTGTGTCACATTGTGCTATTGTAAAATGTAAGAACAAATCTTAAAATAAGAATAAAAAATAGTCTCAAGGCCCAATAAGAACGTTGACTGAACTAAAATATCAAAAATTTTGATAATGTTATTAATGCAATAATATAAAAATCCGCTATCTTCATATGGTAACACAATCCTCGGACCAATATAAATGCCTATCTATCTATCTATCTATCTATCTATCTATCTATCTATCTATCTATCTATCTATCTATCTATCTAATTCAGTCCACACATCTATCTATCTATCTATCTATCTATCTATCTATCTATCTATCTATCTATCTATCTATCTAATTCAGTCCACACATCTATCTATCTATCTATCTATCTATCTAATTCAGTCCACACATCTATCTATCTATCTATCTATCTATCTATCTATCTATCTATCTAATTCAGTCCACACATCTATCTATCTATCTAATTCAGTCCACACATCTATCTATCTATCTATCTATCTATCTATCTATCTATCTATCTATCTATCTATCTATCTAATTCAGTCCACACATCTATCTATCTATCTATCTATCTATCTATCTATCTATCTATCTATCTATCTATCTAAATCAGTCCACATATCTATCTATCTATCTATCTATCTATCTATCTATCTATCTATCTATCTATCTAAATCAGTCCACATATCTATCTATCTATCTATCTATCTATCTATCTATCTATCTATCTATCTATCTATCTATCTATCTTACTTAAAATGTAACTATAGTGGATACTTCGTATATGAAATAGACATGGCATTTTTTATTTATTAAACAGTGTGTATTACGTCTCCAGGCCTGTGCATTCTCGTAATCTTCGGAAAGAAAATGCGTTCCTTGCAAGGATCGGATGATCTTCTTTTTAATTCGATATATATATATATATATATATATATATATATATATATATATATATTCTGACATGTTTTATTGCGTTCAATTGACAAGATCTGTCTGTTTAATTATATGCTACATTTTACCAAGCGCATTTAAGATTGTGAACATTCGGATCAAATTCATATGAAATTGTCTAAAACTTACGAGGTTTCAGTCTGTATTTCTGTGATCAGTAATTATTATTTACACGCATGCACTTGTGCCGATAAAAATGGTGGCAACTATTAGAAAGCTTCAATATATGTTGCAATGAAACAAAAGTCTTGAAACCATGTATCGAAATTCAATAAAGCGGAGATTAAGAATTCACAACTAAAATTGGGTCTAATTACCTGTTTAATTAATACATTTTTTCATATTTTTTTAAACGTTCAGTGGTGTCTGTTTCGTTAATTACTACAAGTATTAAATATATCACATTTTGCTCAATATCTTTTCGTGCTAAAAATGTTACGTGTTTAATAGAACAGTGAAATGGAAATATCTCACGAAAGAAAAATATTACTAACAGAACGACAAAGACGACGAAGAAAATGGCTATTTCAAGACCACGTGGAAACAAGAGGATCCCTTAATAGACTCAGGTATCTGAGTGCCTCACATGAAAGGCTTGAACAAATATGACAGCTATATAAGAAAGGTAGGACGAAAGGAGATGATTAATTAAACGGTTCATTTTGCTCGGAAAGTAATTTTGTTTAAATGCAGATAAATATTTTATTTGTATAGATTATTAAAATGACTAAATATTCACTCCTGAATTTACTAATTAACCCCACTTCCTACTACAGATGGGGTAGGAAATATGAAACAAAGTCAGGGTGCATTGGATAAATTGTCGTCTAAATTATCATAAAATGAAAATAACACAGGCATCTCATTTTAACAGACATAAGAATCACAATTACCCAAAATATCTTGAAATACTAAGGAGTAAATTTATTCAATAAAATTGCCATTGGCTTCAACTGGTGCCTCCAGACGACATCGGAATCTTCTGCACCTCTTCTGAACGGTCTCCTTGTATAAGTTGGTGAATGCTGTCATAATCCTTTCCTTTAGTTCATCTCTGGTCTTATAAAGAATTTTGTTGGTCTCTCGTTCAACTGCACCCCACACATAATAATCAAGAGGGTTGAAGTTTGGGTGCTAGATGACCAGATGTAAGGGGTAATGTAATTTCAGAAATTGTCTGACAGCCATGCCTGGGTTCTCATGTTTGTGTAGCATAGTGCAGAGTCCTGTTGCTAGATACAGGGTCTTTGAGCAGCCACTCTCTTGACACAAGGCAGCACTACTTCAAGCCACTTGATGTAGGCCTCCGTGTTGGGATGATGAAGGTATAACGTCGCCATCACTAGTAATCACTCCAAACACCATGACATTGACTGGAAATATCATCAAATTCTTTCCGAATCCTCTGCAATGTCCTCAGATTGACACCCAAACACTGAAATGTCCATATTGGAGTTTCCGGCGCGAATGCCAAGTAGTACGTAATGCCGTTTCTAAATGTCTGGCGGGTTGAATTGTATTATGGTGCTCTTTTATTCATAGATGGTGTCCAACTGACCCTGCTATACTGTGCAATCGACAAAATCAAAAACAAGCAGTAAGCATGCGCGAAATTAAAACTATAAAATGGCGATAATTTACCCATCGCACCCTGTACATAGGAACTATATAAATTAATGCCCATTGACAATTATCATATGGTTGATTATTTACATACGAACGATAGTCCTCATTTTATTGTTATTATAACAAAGTTTTGGCTGATGTACCCTCCGACTTACTTGGACTCAGCGGAAATGCGGTGAACAATAACTAAATAATTATTATATCCTTTGACATGGGTGTTGGGACGAAAACCATTTTCCTCCGTTGATTTAATAAAGTATTCAATTCTAAATCTGAATGTTACCCGAATCGACGAGCACCTGATGAAGGCCGGGTAGTACAACAGTCGAAATGCTGCAATGATAACAAAAAAAAAAAAAAAAAAGATTAGGATAATAGTTCACAATGTTTTTTGCTCAATTAAATTATGAACTGTGGATAGTTTATAAATTTTATCTGAATATACGACTGCGTATACGCAAACTAGAAACACATACTGCGATGTGTACTGATCACTATAAACGTTATTTTAGCGGGTACATGTGTTTGAGTAGACAAACCTTTTTTCTTACAATCAGTGTAATTAACGTCCACTCGCCTAGATCATCGAAAGTTTAATTAAAGCAAATATATCTCCCGGTGGGGCTAGACGTTATACTCATTTTTATTTCCGATTCCAAAGGCAAATTCGTAGCGATTGAATGTTTTTTTTTTAAGATTTATCAACCAAAGCCAGAAAATACTTTTAGATTATATTTAGATTATATTTTTACACAAATGGACTCACCCAGGGTATACATATACTACTGCTAGTGAATACCCGGGGGAAAAAACGAGCGACGAACGAGCACTGACGTAACGAGCAAGAGTCACAGTGAGCATGCAGAATAATAATGATCTTTTGTATGTTTCCTCGTTTATTTGCTATAAAAGCTGAAAGGAAAACCATGTCAACATTGAAAACATGAAAAAGGATTTTCAGTCATCGTTACGTATGATAATGACACCCATAAATAGGACATCTCAGTATGGTGTAATGATTCACAAGCTGGTCTCTCTAGAATAATTACGAGTGGAATAGTGAGTTCGATCCTTACTGAATGCCCTATACTTTCGGCCTTGTGCCTCATCTAAGCTACGCTTTGAAATTCACCATTTAAACCTTGTCTCGCTAGAAAATTTATGACTGAGTAGTGAGTTCGTTCCCCCACTAGATACCGCATTTATTCGGTCTTGTGACACATCTAAACCACGTTTAGAAAATCGCCATAACACAATATCATTTATTTGAAATTTACATATTTTCTAATATAAGAATAAAATTTAACTGTCAATTTCTCATTTCATTTATTTATTTATAATTCTTTAGTAAGTAATTATAAATTTTATAAAGGAGTATATCTCAACATAGAGGTTAATTAGTGCTTTTGCTAACGTCCAAACGAGTAAGAAAATCAATCAAAACCTTGTGCATACATTTTATATTTGATATTGTTCTCATCCTGATTGTTACAAATATTATAATAGACTCAAAGTTTCGGCCAAGTACATTCTCGTTGAAAAACTGGTTCCTGTACAAATCACTAGAGTTAAGAAACTAGTGGTGTAGTGGTTAATAGCTCGGCAATCCTTAATCGTAGAGCCGAGTTCTAATTCCATTTGGGTTCAATATATTCACTTTTTAAAAAAAATCATTTCACTCCAAGCAACGCGGAAATGCCACGAGTACGCAGGGGATTGCAGCAAGTGAGAGTGAAATAAAACACTGTGTATAGGGAGAATTGAGGAAAGGACAAAAGATGAACGGGATTCAGGAAGATGGCGATTGACAGTGCATTTTAATTTTTGAAGATTTTATTTATCAGGGAAGCAAGGAAACGAAAGGGTGTTCCACAGGCGGAAAGTGCAAGAAAAGAAAGTGTTGGAGTAGAAGTGATGGTTGCATTTAGCGATTTCAGCAGCAAACGAATGGAATCTACATGATTACATTCATTTAGTCGGGGGCATTAGGTAATACAGCTCGTCAGAATCGGTAATCGAATAGCCGTGTTCTAATTCTAGTTGGGTTCGTTATATTCACTTTTTTAAAAAATCATTTCGTTGCAAGCGACGCGGAAATGTCACTAGTGAGCAGGAGTTTACAGGGAGTGAATGTGAAAGAGAAGGTTGAGAAGATGAGTAGTAGTATTCTAACCCGAAGGAGGCTGCGCCGAGGGGCGGAGTCTCCTTCGGGGAGGTGGAACCGGCCCTGAACCCGTTTATACGGGTTCAAATGGGTTATTTTTTGGCCGAGCCTAATGGCTCCGGGAATGCCCACGTTAAAAAGGCCTTGTGCCACATGACACCCTCGTGGGGGGTGACTGAATATTATCAGTCGTTCACCTCTGAACTGACTGTTCGGTTCAACTCTCTTCCTACGGGCGGGAGGAACCCGAAGGAGGCTGCGCCGGGGGGCGGAGTCTCCTTCGGGGAGGTGGAACCGGCCCTGAACCCGTTTATACGGGTTCAAATGGGTTATTTTTTGGCCGAGCCTAATGGCTCGGGAATGCCCACGTTAAAAAGGCCTTGTGCCACATGACACCCTCGTGGGGGGGGGGGTGACTCAATATCGAGAAGGTTGAGAAGAGGGGGAATTGAAGAAAGGACAAAAGAAGAGTTGGCGATTGGTGTTGCATTTAAAGTTTTGAAGATTGTATTTATCTGGGAAGCAAGTAAATGAAAAGAAGTTCCACATGTGAGAAGTGCGAGAAAAGAAACTGTTGGAGAAGTAGCAATTGCATTCCAATAGTAAAAGGGCGGGGCCTAGATGACTATCTATAGTGGGTACGATTAAATTCATGTATTCGGGGCACGATGAACCCAAAAAAATCTTTTCAGAGCATTTGTTATGAAAATATATGTAGAAAAGACTGAGTGAAGCCACCTTACGTTGGTGAGAAAATGACTGAAGTCGAGATGCCAAGTTAGGATCGATTAGATTACAGATCCTTTTTTTTTATTTTGTCAAGAACCACGAGATGAATATCAGGAGCACCAGACCAGATACGGTCTCAGTATTACATGGACAGACGAATGGTAGATTTGTAAATGTGTAAGATGGATTCTGATGAGACAAAAATTCTGGTTACATGCAAATGCCCTTGAGGAAGGTATGAATCCACCTCTTATCCCACTACCTATGTGTTAATTAGTAAGTCTTGT